TCGCTTAGAAAACGGAATTTGGGAAACAAATTTCGAGAACAAGATTAAAAAACAGAATTTGGAATACCATACAACCGATTTTGGGCATGAATCGCCATACAATCGCATCACAGAGACAAAGCATCGAGAGAGAAACGGAGAAACAAAAAAATTGTCGAGAGAAAAAGCGTTCTCTCCTCAACACGTGGCTGCTGGAGACGTCGCTTAGCTACACTTAAAATCCCTTATATAAGCGACGTTTTTAACTTTTTTTTTTCTTTTTGATTAAAAAAATGACCTATTTACTCTAACAGAGGTGGTAAGTAACACCAATAAACATGGAACTTTCTCTTTGGCCTATTTTGCTAACAAAAGTTATTTTTTCGTGAATGCTATGAGTTCTACAGGTGAATAATTGTGTGTATGTTCTCATTGTCGTTCTTTTGAAAAAATGAGAATTCTTCGACTTACCGGACAGCCAACTATCATCCCACTATTAATGATTTTCTGACCATGAACTTTAATTTATTAGTATAAATACACATACAAAAGAGCCTATGATCAAGATAAACGGCTAAATTTTTGTTTCATCTTCTTCGGGCATGGTCGTTTAAGTGAATTGGGTAATGGAATCGTCGAAAGGTATGTTTTCTCAAGGCGTTCCTGATTTTTTAGGCCAAAGCTGGTTCTGATGTTTATGGTGTTCTTGGTTTGGATTCTTCAGGGTTTTTTTATATTGTGCAATGACTTAGATACTGTTGGGTCAAGCTTAGAGAACAAGGGATGGTAACTGTTGTGCTGTTTCGTGGAAGTTTACCTTTTTTGCTAATTTGTTTGATTGCCACTGAACCAGGCACCCAATTATTGTTATTTAGTTTGAATATATTTTGGTTTGGTCTAACCTTGCTAATTTAGTCTCAACACCTTCATCTGAAGTTAAATAGTTTTTGACTTGGATATGTCTTGGGAGCTGTTATCAAGCTTTTTCGTTTGGTAGAATCACCTGCTGACTATATAGTCGAAGATTGCAAAGTCTTTTCTGTCTTTCAAGGAACATTTTTCCAAGCCAAGCAACAATCTGTGACGATATATTTTCCTTATTTTTCTATGCTGACTTTAGACAGTTCTCTTATGTGTACATGTTGCAGTGAAACTATTCAGGTGACATTTCTGTGGACGGTTTAGGAAAACGTGAACCAATCCAAGCCCAAAAATAATACATAACAATCCACCATTGTAAGTTTTCATTCAATATCTTGAATCCTTGATATGTTCAGCCTCGTGATATTTACCTCCTCCAATCATGCTTTTTCTTTGTCCCAAACCAACCATGTATTTTCTTTTTTCTTCCTATTGTCCCGATAGCTTTTTCTTCTCTAGATGCTTCACCTTTTGTTTCAAACCACTATATATATATACCTCGCACATTGCTTAATATGCTGTTTTTTCTTCCCAATCTTTGTATACTTCGCACTTGAAAACTGATTACAGCTTAAGCTTTCTCAAGTTATAGTTGAATTTAAATGTTTACCATTTAGCGGCTTTTAGCTAAAACAAGAGATGAATTCTAACTGATCTTCCTACTTTCAGATACAAGGCTTTTTGGTTTAATCAAGGCTTTCAGTTATGCCATTTTCCAGTTGATTCATTTGGTAAAGTTGCTTTGTCTTGGCATGCTGGATTGGAGGTTCAATGAATAAGGAGATCAAGAGAAAATATATTTTATTTTATTTTTTTAATAGCATGTCATTCACTTATCTTATACTCTTGCTATATGTGTAGTTGTTAGCTTGGCATTGATTATTATGTGTAGTGTTTTTTTTTTGGGTTATGAATGTTAGTTGTTATGTGTAGTTCTTAGGTTTATTCCTCTACCAATGGATCATAATGCAATATAGCATTCTGGTTACCCTGTGTTACAGAGACATTATTTTATTTGATGCAGAGAACATTATAGGGGTTAGTGAAGAACACTCAAAATATAAACTGGTGTAATCTTACATTGAATAGGTAAACGGAATACTTTACTCTTTGTCTCTCTGTAAGAATTGTCTGTGTTTTTGATGGACAACTTATTGAGAGTGTAAATTAGCTTTAGATAATACATTGGTGTATCTTAAATCTCATAAACATTGTGTGCATCATGACGTAACGAACAAATGTTATTGGAAGACTGTGGAAGAGAATCTTCTAGACTTAAGTACCATGGGTTGATGTTGTTAAACCGTTCCAAAGAAGATTTAACAAGCCTGACTACATAATTTCACCTCGGAGAAGAGAAAGAAAGGGAGTACGAGATAGTATAGGCACATGTTCGATTGTTCAACAGCAAACAAAAAAAAAAACAAGTAGAGGCACCTTGCTCATAAAATTAGTTTCTAGCATTTGGCAAAAAAATACTCTAAAAGGTGAATTCTCAATGTTGTCTTCTTTACTTCTTGCATTTCGGAATTTAATAGGGCTGATATATACAAGTTTCTCTAGAATACCAAGTCTCCAAGACGAGTGATTTCACAAGTATTCGTGCTAATTCACTGGGAAGGCGAACACAATGACATAAAGTATATGTATCACAAAAATTAGAAAATACATTGATGTCCACAACTATATTTTATTTACTTTATAATTTACGTTAAATCCTAACCAGAATCTAATATATAATGAGAGGATAACTCTCTCCATTTGGATAGTTAATTTTATAGTTGTTAACTACGTGTAAAAAAACGTAGGATAAACTATCAGAACATCTTTACGTTCATGTTGTTTAAAACTAAAGATTTAACAGTTCATCATTTTTCATATTTTAAAACAATATATTTGATTTGGATATTATTTCTATTTTCCTTAAATAATTTATAACTATGTGAATAGAGTTTAAAAAGGATAATTATATAAACATAGAATAAATACAATAATTCTGAAAATCTGAATATATATACTTATTGAATAGTTTGTAATACACAATACCCACGCATCGCGCGGGCCAAGCCCTACTAATTTCTAAAGAAGTTAGAATTCACTTATATGTCTCTTTGCATTTAGTGTAACATCCATAAACCAAATAATTAATAATTGATTTTGGTTCAATTTGAGTGAAATTGGGCCCGGTTTAGCCCGGTTAAGGGTTGGAAACCCTTATTTTCGTTTTAAAGGAGAAGCAGCCGTCTGTTCATCACGTTTTTCGAGGCAGAGAAGGAGAAAGGCGATTTTGAGAGTTCTGGAAAAACCCGATTTTACTGTTCATCGGGTTACTGTTCATCGGACTGTTACGGGTTACTGTTCATCGGTACTGTTCAGGTTACTGTTCATCCGCGATTCGGCACTGTTCATCGTCTTTCCTTTTTCCTTCAGTTTCAATCCATTGTCAAGGTGAGTGCATGACTGTGGGTCCGCGATTTGCTAGATTAGATTTGGTTTGTGATTGTTCTTGATGAGTTTATGTGTTTAATTGTTATTTCATGTATTTTGGTTGTTTCTGTGATGAATTGTGTGTTTGTGTGGTTTAATCTGAATTAATTGATTTAATTGGTTTATCTTGGTTTAAATTGATTTGATTCTGGTTATTGGTGTAATTGAATTAAAATGTTTTAATTCAAATTGTTTGATTTATTTTCGGATTTAATTAATTAATTGATTTAAAATAATTATTTTAATTATTTTAAAATATGGAAAATTATTATTTAATTATGAGAATTATTTAATAATTGAGAAATTGAGTTTTAATTATTAAAATTATTTAATAATTGGAAAATGGTATTTAATAATTATTGGAGTTTATAAATATTATTAAATATCTAGTAAATTGCGTAAATGGCTCGTAGGCAGAGTGATTGCCTCACTAAGTATTTATTAAATACTTACGCAACTCCATTCCAATGTGTTGCAGGTAAAAGATTTGTGTGATCGCGGAATCAAGGCTGAAGAGGGGGATGATAGGATGTTTACTGTTTTATTGTTTTGCATTATTTTGCTAGACTTGTTTAATTATTATTTGCTTCCGCTGAGCTGATTTATTTGTTATTGATATTTTATTTATTTAATTTATTTTAAAGACCTTCGCTAGAATTGATTATATTTAATAAAAAAAAAAAAAATGTTGGTTGTTTCATTTAATAGGAGTTTCATGGCAATTCCAAACCCGTTTCTTTGTATACAATTCCAAACTTAGTAGGATTTCACTGAACAATAAAGCATCTGAATGATGAAACAAGATTCAAATTAACGTGAGAAGGGGGGGCGTATTACAGAACCTCATCCCCCATTTATAAAGATATGAAAAAGGCCATTAGAGAGACAGACGGATTCACATTCATTCGGACATGTTTCTGAGTTGAAGAGTTTGGTTCATTTTATGTGGTGGTTCTTAATTTGGTTCCCACTTTCCGAACTTTAATTTTCATAACTGTTTCTTTCATTCAGAAACAGTGGAATTATTTGTCTAAACATCTTAGCAAAGAGCCAATTCTGATCAGTAAGCTGCCAACAAATAAGAGCTAAGATATTGTATATAGAAACTTCAAACAAGTTCAATATTTAATATTACGCGGGTGTAGCTCGGGGTATCCTCTAGTATAACTAAAACATTATCTATCCTACAATATATTAAAGACCATGCTAAAAAGCTAACATGGCAAGCTCACATTTTTTGGAGCATTTTTGATTTTTTTTAATTAAATTATTTTTCATTTTTCGGGTCCCACGCGGATCCAACAACGGTTCGGATCTTTTTAATTTTCATTGGGCCGAATTGATTTCTCGATTTGTTTATTGAGCTACAAAACATTAACTATGCGAGCGTCGTCCATATAAGTTAACCGAATAACCAAAACATTAACTAACCGATTAAATAATACTTCCATGCAAGAACACATCTTCTTGGGTTTTCTTCACGTTTTCCTTTTCCGGGAGCCAAATAACTACTGTGCATATCATAGTTGACATCGTATTTCCTAAATTACATTCCTAATAAAACTACATTCCCGAAGCTGAGGATTTTGACGATTATTACCTTCTAACCTGATATGATCATTGAGGAGGTTGCTAGGAACTTGGACCAGGAAGCAGCTGGAGAGCTTGTAGCTGAGGAGGAGCAGCTTGAACCTGAGGAAGCTTTGGAGGCTTTGACTATACCAACTGGTCCAGTTACTAGATCACAAACTAAGTTGCTCAACCAAGACATTGGAAGAGTACTTAGCCGTTTGAGTCGGCGAGTTCTTGAAGACAAGCATTCCACCTTGGTTTGTTTGATGGCCAAACACTTGGGATAAAGAGGCAAGTGGTTCTTAGTGTGCTCTTTTTCCCTCAAGGTTTTGTCCCTTTGGGTTTTCCTTGATAGGTTTTTAATGAGGCCTAAGACCCACTTCCAAATCACCTCTCTTATCTTTTGTTTGGGTCCGGCCCAAAACTCTTCTCCACTGCCAAATCTTGCCGCCCAGAAGAGTCTTTGTTCAAACTTGCATTTATGTTTTGTTTCATTTTCGAGATTGACTGGAGCTTGTTCCAATCTCTCTCTCTCTCTCTCTCTCTCTCTCTCTCTCTCTCTCTCTCTCTCTCTCTCTCGTTTTCCTTTAAAACTCTGAACTCCTTCTTTGTTTCTGGTATCAATCTTTTAATCAAAACTCTTTTGTTTTTTATCAAACCTCTTAGTGTGTAATATCTAAGATCTTTAGTTTTCTTAAAGTGTGTCATATCTTTGAGAGATCTACCTTGTCCATCTCTTGGTGCGTAATATCCTGGAGATCAACAAGAGCCTTGTCCATCTCTTGGTGTGTAATATCCTTGAGATCAACAAGTTTGGTGTTGAGAGATCCTTCCGCAGATCTCTTGTTATAGCCACTCTTCAATCCCTTTTCACTCCACCATTCGTCCAAGTCTTTTCCATCACTCCATCTTTCTTCACCCCATCATCAAACTTACTTCAAAGTGCCGATCTATAATCAGGGGTCTATCAAGTGGTATCAGAGCCACTTTGAAGCTAAGTACTTCTCCTTTTGTTGTTTTATTTCGTTTTTGTTCATCATATCATTTGTGGCTGTTCATCTTCTAGATCTGGCGAGTTTTGTTACTGGAAATTGGTTTAATTATTTGCACAATTTTAAAACTATTGTCATAATTAATCCTGATCACTCTCATCTAGATCTATCCATCTACTATTTTTCCCATATTTTTAGAAATTGTTTGCATAATTTCTAAAATTATTTCTTGATCTTTTCCTTTGAACTCCTAACTGCCGAGTTCTTTCTGTTGTTTCAGGTACTATGGCGGATGGAAAGGAAGATGAAGAAGATTCGAACAAGAGTCTCAGTGAATCCCTTCTGGAACAATGAAGAAGCTCATGAGGGAAGAGTTTGAACGGAGGGAACAAATTAAGCAGGAAAGCGCAAGGAGTCTAGAGATCACATCCATATCTCGGATGAGGGGGGAGGAATGACCCTATGGCCTCAAGAAGGATGGCCGATGAGCAAGCCAATGCTTACTACAACAGTGGCCATTCCTCTCAAGGAAGCAGGCGCCGCTCTAGAAGGCATCGCGATGATCCAGAAAATCTTGGAGGATACAAGATCCGGATTCCCCCTTTCCATGGCAATAACAATCCTGATGAGTACATGGACTGGGAGAAGAAGTGTGAGTTCAACTTCAACTTACACAACATATCCAACATCAACAGAGTCAAACTGGCGGTCTCTGAGTTCAATGACTATGCCCTAAGGTGGTGGGAACAAATCGTGACCGCAAGAGAGATTGGTGGAGCTCTTGAGGTCTCTACCTGGGAAGAGATGACAAGGATCATGAGGCAGAGGTTCATACCTAGCTACTATCAGAGAGAGCTACATTCTAAGCTCAGGAGGCTCACTCAAGGGTCCAAAACAGTTGAAGAGTACTTCCAGGAGATGGAAGTGATGTTACTAAGGGCTAATGTGATTGAGGACAGAGAAGCCACTATGTCCAGGTTCCTTGGAGGGCTCAACCGCGAGATCCAAGACATTGTGGAGATGCAAAACTGTGTGGGCTTGGAGTCTATGCTACACAAAGCAGTTCTGGCCGAAACCCAACTCAAGAGGAGAGCGCCAACTGGCATGGAACTGATCAGCGCCGCCTGTCTATGCCAGAGACTCCAAACCGGCTTTACACCAAAGTCTGAGCCAGAGGAGTCCCTTACAACCAAGACAAGGACAAGAACAAGTCCAGTACCACCTCTGCCCCCAGAGCCCGCGAGCTTAAGTGCTTCAGATGCCAAGGCTTTGGACACTATGCCAATGAATGCCGCAACAAGAAGATCATGTTCATAAGAGACAATGGAGAAGTGGAGTCTGAGGAAGAAGCTCTAGAGCCAGAGCAAGAGCCAGAACCAGAGGAGTATGAGCTGTGCCTGTCATGGGAAAGCTTCTGGTGGCCAGAAGACTCTTGAGCGCTCAAGTCCAAACACACAAGGAAGAGCAAAGAGAAAACCTATTCCACTCGCTGTCTTGTCCAGGAGAAGGTTTGCAGCTTAATCATTGATGGAGGCAGTTGCACTAATGTGGCTAGTGAGGCCATGGTTGAGGCCATGGTTGAGCTTGGTCTTGTGACTCAGAAACATCCTAAGCCATATCAGCTACAGTGGATCAATGAGACTGGAGATATGAGCGTGAAGGAGCAAGTGTGTGCCACTATCTATAGGAAGCTATGAGGATGAGATCTGTGTGATGTCTTGCCTATGGATGCTGGACACATCATTCTGGGAAGGCCATGGCAATCTGATAGGCGTGTCTTGCATGATGGCTTTACAAACAAGTACACCTTCCTTCACAAGGGGCGTAAGACCACTCTCATTCCCTTAACCCCTCAAGAGGTGTATGAAGATCAAGTTCAGTTGAGTGGCCAAAAGACTAAACCTCAAGCCAAGAAGGAACCAACCAAATCCAACAAGTCCCTGAACTATCTGGCCAAATCCAAACAGGTTAAAAGTTCCATGTTTCTAATAAGCCTTTTCTCTTATTCATCTTTAAAGGAACATTTAACCTCTTGATTGATAATGCACCGGAGATTCCGAGTGAGATGTCCAAACTTTTACAGGATTTCCAGGATGTGTTTCCAGAGGATTGTCCCAAGGGATTGCCACCAGTCAGAGGCATTGAGCATCAAATAGACTTTGTCCCTGGATCCACACTTCCAAACCGTCCAGCATACAGAACCAATCCTGTGGAAACCAAAGAACTCCAGCGCCAAATAGATGAGCTTATGGATAAGGGTCACATCAGGGAAAGCATGAGTCCTTGTGCTGTTCCTGTTCTTCTTGTGCCCAAGAAAGATGGGAGTTGGCGCATGTGTGTGGACTGCAGAGCCATCAACAATATCACTGTAAAGTATCGACATCCTATCCCTAGACTTGATGATATGCTTGATGAGTTGCATGGTTCTAGCATTTTCTCTAAAATTGATTTAAAAAGTGGTTATCATCAGATTAGGATGAAAGAAGGTGATGAATGGAAAACTGCATTTAAAACTAAACATGGTCTTTATGAATGGCTTGTCATGCCATTTGGTCTCACTAATGCACCTAGTACATTCATGCGCTTAATGAACCATATCCTGAGAAACTTCATTGGTCATTTTGTTGTGGTTTACTTTGATGACATCTTGATTTACAGCAAGAACCTTGAAGAGCATCTAGATCACCTTGCATCTGTCCTGTCTGTGCTAAGAAAAGAAAATTGTTTGCCAATCTTAAGAAATGTACTTTTTGCACAGATAATGTGGTTTTTCTAGGCTTTGTTGTGAGTGCAGATGGAGTCAAGGTGGATGAAGAGAAAGTTGCAGCAATCAGAGAATGGCCAAGTCCTAAGACAGTGAGTGAAGTCAGAAGCTTCCATGGCCTAGCTGGGTTCTATAGGCGGTTTGTCCGTGATTTTAGTACCTTGGCCGCACCTTTAACTGAAGTCATCAAGAAAGAAGTTGGATTCAAGTGGGAGAAAGCACAGGAGGATGCTTTCCAGGCTCTCAAGGATCGCTTGACTAATGCCCCTGTTCTTATTTTACCTGACTTCTTGAAAACTTTTGAGATTGAATGTGATGCTTCAGGTATAGGCATTGGAGCTGTCTTGATGCAGGACAAGAAGCCAATTGCTTTCTTTAGTGAAAAGCTTGGAGGAGCCACTCTCAACTATCCAACCTATGACAAAGAACTCTATGCCTTGGTCCGCGCTTACAAACTTGGCAACACTATCTCTGGCCAAAGGAGTTTGTCATCCACACAGACCATGAATCTCTCAAACATCTCAAGGGCCAACAGAAGCTCAACAAGAGGCATGCCAGGTGGGTTGAATTCATTGAGACATTCCCATATGTCATCAAGTACAAAAAAGGTAAGGACAATGTTGTAGCCGACGCATTGTCCAGGAGGTACACTCTTCTCTCAACTCTTGATGCTAAACTCTTGGGCTTTGAACAGATAAAAGACTTGTATGCTTCTGATTCTGATTTTGCTGAGATCTATAAGTCTTGTTCTAAATTTGCTTTTGGCCGATACTACAGACAAGATGGGTTTCTCTTCTATGAGAACCGTCTCTGTGTGCCTAATTGTTCTTTGAGGGATTTGTTTGTCAGGGAAGCACATGGAGGAGGCTTGATGGGACACTTTGGTGTGGCCAAAACACTTCAAGTCATGCGTGATCACTTTCATTGGCCGCACATGATCAGAGATGTGGAGAGGATTTGTTCTAGATGTGCAACTTGTAAACAATCCAAATCTAAGGTTCAACCTCACGGTTTGTACACTCCTCTCCCTATTCCATCTCATCCCTGGACTGATATATCTATGGATTTTGTGCTTGGATTGCCTAGGACTAGAACTGGAAAAGATTCTATCTTTGTGATAGTTGATAGGTTCTCAAAAATGGCTCATTTTGTAGCATGTCATAAGACTGATGATGCATCTCATGTAGCTGCTCTGTTCTTTAAAGAGATTGTTAGATTGCATGGCATGCCGCGCACCATTGTTTCTGATCGTGACAAAGTTCCTGAGTTATTTTTGGAAAACTTTGTGGTCTAAGTTGGGTACTAAGCTTTTGTTTTCTACTACTTGTCACCCTCAAACTGATGGCCAAACTGAAGTTGTTAATAGAACTCTTGGAACTTTGTTGCGCGCCTTGATTAAAAAGAATCTTAAAAGTTGGGATGAATGTTTGCCACATATTGAGTTTGCATATAACCATGCTGTGCATTCTGCTTCTAAGTTTTCTCCTTTTGAAATTGTTTATGGGTTTAAGCCCATCTCTCCTTTGGATTTGATGCCTTTGCCTTTGAGTGAAAGATTAAGCACAGATGGAAAGCACAAGGCAGAAACAGTCAGAAGATCCATGAGCAGGCCAGAAGGAACATTGAGGCTAAAACCAAGCAGTATGCTCAACAAGCCAACAAGGGCCGAAAGGAAGTGATCAAGGTTTGGATCCATCTGCGCAAAGAGAGATTCCCGGCCGAGCGCAAATCCAAACTTATGCCGAGGATAGATGGACCATTTGAGATCACCAGAAGAATCAACAACAACTCCTATCAAATCGATCTTCAAGATGAACCAGATTTGAGGACAAATCCTTTTCAAGAGGGAGGGGATGATATGATCATGGAGGAGGTTGCTAGGAACTTGGACCAGGAAGCAGCTGGAGAGCTTGTAGCTGAGGAGGAGCAGCTTGAACCTGAGGAAGCTTTGGAGCTTTGACTATACCAACTGGTCCAGTTACTAGTCCCAAACTAAGTTGCTCAACCAAGACATTGGAAGAGTACTTAGCCGTTTGAGTCGGCGAGTTCTTGAAGACAAGCATTCCACCTTGGTTTGTTTGATGGCCAACACTTGGGATAAAGAGGCAAGTGGTTCTTAGTGTGCTCTTTTTCCCTATCAAGGTTTTGTCCCTTTGGGTTTTCCTTGATAGGTTTTTAATGAGGCCTAAGACCCACTTCCAAATCACCTCTCTTATCTTTTGTGCTTGGCCCGGCCCAAAACTCTTCTCCACTGCCAAATCTTGCCGCCCAGAAAGTCTCTTTTGTTCAAACTTGCATTTATGTTTTGTTTCATTTTCGAGATTGACTGGAGCTTGTTCCAATCTCTCTCTCTCTCTCTCTCTCGTTTTCCTTTAAAACTCTGAACTCCTTCTTTGTTTCTGGTATGCAATCTTTTAATCAAAACCCTTTTGTTTGTTTATCAAACTCTTAGTGTGTAATATCTAAGATCTTTAGTTTTCTTAGTGTGTCATATCTTTGAGAGATCTACCTTGTCCATCTCTTGGTGCGTAATATCCTGGAGATCAACAAGAGCCTTGTCCATCTCTTGGTGTGTAATATCCTTGAGATCAACAAGTTTTGGTGTTGAGAGATCCTTCCGCAGATCTCTTGTTATAGCCACTCTTCAATCCCTTTTCACTCCACCATTCGTCCAAGTCTTTTCCATCACTCCATCTTTCTTCACCCCATCATCAAACTTGCTTCAAAGTGCCGATCTATAATCAGGGGTCTATCATAACCTTTGATATTCACATGATTTCCCAATTAAATAAAAGTTGCCATTTCTTCTCTTGCAAATATTCTGAAAGTGGCTATACCTAGAGAGTAGTACAATACCCACTCCACTATTTAAGCGATCCCTTCCCCATCCCCAATTCTCATCATCTCTTTCAAGAGCACCACTAAAGTTTCTTCAAAACCAACAGCCAAATGCTCGGCAATCTGAAAATGATGTATCCGCTGTGGAAGAGATCTGCCAATTTCACTGTGACAGTATCAATTCTTCGCATGTAGCTTATAATAGTTACATAAAGGTTTTGCCATCTCTGGTTGTTGATCTTGATGATGACAAATTTTTTTGTTTGTTTTATTAGGTACTTCCTGCGTGGTTGAACTGTTTGCCTTTAAGAAATGATGTCATTGAAGCCAAAGTGGTTCATGATCAGCTCTGTTCAATGGTTGAGAGGTAATCAATGGGTTTAGATTCAATTCTACTTACTTTTGCTTTACTTTATTTTCGTTCCCAACCTTGATTGATGATCTATTTGCAAGCAAGATGTGGACCGTTTAGGACCCAATAACCAGTATCTTCCGAAAATCTTAATAGTGTTTGCGGAGGTTTGTTAACTTCAGAGAAAAATTTCATTATTTGATCTTGGTATTATTATTGTTGTACTGATGGAAGAGATATGAATGTGTTATATTGTTCGGGCAGGTGCTTACAGGGAAAGATGTGGTGACAGAAGAGACAGCAGGTCGAATGATAAATATACTAAGGCAACTTCAGCAGACACTGCCACAATCGGCGCCGAAACCTGAGCAGCAGCTGGGTCTCCAATCCATGCTTTCCTCCTAAACTCTCAAATCCACTCCTCTCTCTTTGTTCATTTTTTACATACAGTCTTATGAGCGCTGTTTTCACCACAAAGCGTCGTCAGTTTGGCATTTTTGTGTTTACATTTTTTTAACCATTTGTTTTTGGGAGGGATGATGAATGGGTAAAATCCTTCAGAAGTTATAAAAATGAAATTTCTTATCTTCAGAAGGGTGTTATTGGGAATTTGGGTATGATTCCCCAGAGTCACAGGTTTGGAGTTGGTGTTGGTTTGGGAGAAGGATGGAATTTTGGTTCTTTTATACATGATCATGGGTTTGGATCAAACGAGATCAAGTAGTTACATGATCATGGGTTTTGGAAATTGTGGGATTGATTGCCAAGTTTGCGAAACAGAGAAGCTGAAAAGGTAATGGTTTTTGTGTGCAGGAAGAGTGAATCTGATCGGAGAGCATATTGACTATGAAGGATACTCAGTGTTGCCAATGGCTATTCGTCAGGACACGATTATCATAATCCGGAAAAACGAGACTCAAAATCAGCTTCGGATTGCAAATGTCAATGATAAGTAGTACTCTATGTGTACATATCCTGCTGATCTTCACCAGGTTTATACCTGACCATCCCATAGTTGTTTCTCTGTTCGTCGCACAAAAAGACTAGAGCTTTGGAAACGATAGTGTACTAATGCCTTATTTTGATGTCAATTTTGCAGGAAATTGACTTGAAGAATCACAAATGGGGTCACTACTTCATATGCGCGTAAGTGGTTTCGTTTCTGCTCTAGCTAGTTACAGTTAACCATGGAAGTTTTCATTTCAAAAGAAAATTTCCTAAAATATAATTAAATATATAAAAACTTCTATAAATTTAACTTGAAATATGGGTTAATACATGGGTAATTGAATAAAAATGCAGAAATGGGTGGAAATAAATTTGACTGACACAATTTTAACCTAAACCCTAGCTAAAACGCAAACGCTTGTCTTCCCAAGAGAAAAGCAGATCTGGGAACAACGCCATTGTCTTCCCCTGAAACTCAGTGATATACCCATATCTTTCATGTTTTTATCAAGGTTTTCACTATGTTTTTAATACAAATAATGTGGTTTTTATGCCCAAGAGGTAGTTTTCTTGTATATTCTGGTTTTGAGCATCATTCAGGTCAAAATAGCAAAGAAGAGTCAAAATGGAGCAAAAAGAGTCAAATCACCAAGTTCCCAAGTCTAGAGCACCAAATCTACATTTCTCGCTAAAGACCAAACCGGAGCATCCGAAGTACGACCGCATATTCATGCCTTCCCGACGTCCAAAAGTCATGATTCTTATATGGAAAGATAGATATTTGAGTCATGACCCGCGGCGAAGTGGAAAGAGGTCATTTGGATCACTCGTTGGACCGGAACTTATTTTCTACCAAGACATGTCCGACGAGCGCCTAAGTAGAGCCCATGGAGACTTTGATGGATCAAGAGGCCCGAGATACCGCGCCCAAGGCCTTGGCTCATCTTGACACTAGCATAACTCAATCCAGAAGCTTCCATTGGCCTGAACGCGGCCCATTCAAGAACTTGGAGAGCAAGCTCAAGCGGCTAAAGAGAAATGGAAACTTTCCTCTTCTGCGCGCGCTCAACTTTGCCGACCTAGACCCGCTCTCTACCTATATATACTTGCTTTTAGCCTCTTGTAATAAGAATCACCAGCCGCATAACAAGAAACACTTATTCAATAAAGTTCGGAGCCACTTAGGTGGTCTCCTTCTTCTTTCTTTTCTTCTTTTGCATTTGTATATAGCTTGCATGTTTCAATTTATATAGTCTAGAAGTAGAGATTTCTCCCTAAGGGTGAGGCGTGGTTTAGTCTATATTCCGCCGCCTCTCTCTCTAAGGATTCATGAGACTTCATCTACTATCTAAGACTCATTGTTGAATTATGGATCCTTCCAATGAGGACGTGATATAATGGCCATCTTGAATCGATTGTTAAAAGGGGAAACCCTATGGTTCTCCATCTTTATTTATGCTTAATGCTTGTTGCTAGAGTAGCTAACTAGTGACTTGATTTTAGGTTGATATACTCTCCAAAAGCTTGTTATATCTCCGGACACAATATTTGATGGGCAAATCGTTTTAGGCTACGAAAGTAGACCTAAAGAGTTTTGTGAACAATCATTACTTGGATGTAATGCATGTCTCACTCTACAATGACCAACGAAAGCTGAGCCCATTGGTTTAAGAGACATAGGGGATTGGAACCACGAAAGTGGAATAATCCTTCCTTAGTGTTTTGAGTTCAAAAGAATCGGATTTTAACAAACTTTTCAATCGACTTGGCTCATGTTTTCAAAAGAGTTTTCAATAGTTCAATAATGTTGCTTGTATAGAATTGCATTGTTATTTGCTTTTGCGTGTTCTAAACAAACACAAACCCTTGCATCTTTTGATTTAGCTTAGTCATTTGAACTCTATGATTATGTAATGTGTGAAATCCAATCCCTTGTGGTTCGACCCCTAAATACTACAATTATATGTTGTGCACTTGCAACACTAGTTGTCTTAGGGAATTATTACTTGTACTCATCCCATAGATGCAGCGATCAAGTTTTTGGCGCCGTTGCCGGGGATTGCATCATAAACACTTGCATAGTCTTGTTTAAAACTAAGTCTAGATCTTGGTATTTTCGAATACTAACTTTTTCTTTTAAATCTTGTGTTTATAGGTACTTGGAGATGAATCACAACACCAACATCCACTTTGGGAACCGGACACTGATCCCACACGATCTCCACGGCCGGAGTTACCAAGACCCAGCCGTAAGCATCGTGCCACATCCGTTCCCTCCCAACCGCGCTCATCCGACGTTTGAAGGACCTAGCCGAGACGAGCATCATTACCATCATCATCAAAACCGACCTCCGGTTTATCATCAACCACCTAGACCAGTGTTGCATTCACACCACGACCATGTTCTCAATAGGCGGAGAGATAGCCATTTCGATGCCGTGCTTGAGGGTTTCATGGAGAGCCAAAGAAGAACTAGCCGCGACATTGAGACAAAGCTAGAGTTCACGCGATACGAACTAGATGGAAGACTTGGAGAACTCTCTACCCAAATAGAGAGAGTAGAGTCAAGATGCTTGGACATGGAGGAAGATTTGAAGAAGCAAGGCGAGGCCATTGAAGACAATAGGAGAGCGATACACTTTACCAAAGTTTCTACCAAGGAGATGGACAATCACTTAGATGAGAAGATCTCAAGTCTTGATAACAACCTCGATGGCACCACCAAGAGTCTCAATTCAATAACAGCAGTAGCTCATCAAGCTAAGAGGGAGGTAGCCGAAGTGACACTAAAGGAGAGGCAATGTTACTCGACGATGCTTACATTGGTGGAAGGGCAAAAACAAGTGAAGGCACAAATCCGAGATTTACACATCTCTCTAGACAAGAGGAGCCAAGATATTCAAAGAAGAGCTAGAGGGCTTGAAGACAAAGTAGATGGAGTCTCCAAGGAAGTCAAGGATTTAACCACTCGCTTAGCCAACTTGGAAGAGAAGGTCTTGACCGAGACAAAGACGACCGTTCCTAAGCAAAACTATGCCGCGCCCGTCTTTACTATAAGAGAGACCGACCCAAGAGTGATTTGGGATGAAGAAGAAAGTAGAGCTGATCAAGAAAGAGCCACGAAGCTAACCACTGGAACAAGAGAGAAGATAGCACCAAAAGGAAGAACCCTTACTCAAAGGTCTTCACAACCGCCTCCCACCAAGGAGAAGAGGAAGACAAGATCATCACTTGAAGAGATCATAGATGATTTCAACTTTATGGCGAGGAGATTCCCTTATGGTGTGCCGTTTGATAATGCTTGCAACAAGAGTCCATTCATGCAAGACCTAGCTTGGACACAAGATTGGAGTCTAGCTGAATTGGAAAAGATGTACGAGGAAGCAAGAAAGGGGATGCCTAAACCTAGGTTTCTACACAAGCTTCATGACCCAGGTTACTTCCTTATACATTTCTCTATCAATGGAAGCTACTTTGATGATGCTCTTTGCGATTCCGGTTCTAGTGTGAACCTTATGCCGGCCGAGATAGCCAAGAAGTTGGGATTGATCAATTCAATTGTGAAATCTCGAATGGATTTAAAGCTAGCTGATTCATCATTGACCGAACCACTTGGAGAGGTTAAAGACATTCAGCTTGATTTTGGAGGCTGCATAGTTCCAGCCAACTTCTATGTAGTAACCATGAAGGATCCGGAGGACTTAAAGCTTTTGCTTGGAAGATCATTCCTAGCCACAGCTGGAGCGATCATGGATTGGCCTAATAGAAGAATCTCTCTAGCCAATGTTGACAAGGACACCTTCTACGATGCTGCACCTCCCGGTTTCTCATCCAAGCGATTTCGCTACACAAGTGGAGGAGAGTGCTCACAAGTAAGAGGAGAGTCGCATGGCTACTTGATCAAGGAAGTTCTACAGGACAAGATGCACTTGGAATCATCAGGCAACAGGAAGTTCTTGGAGCCACCAATCCTACCTAACTAAGAACACAAAGGAGTCGAGCTACAAAGACTTAAAACAAGCGCTTGTGGGAGGCAACCCACATTTTCTTATCCCTTCCTCTTTTTATTTTTTTATTTTTATAACTATTTATTTGTTCTATTTATAACTCTTAAATTTTTGAGAGTTTAATAAATTTTACAAAAATAAAATAAAAAGTGTTTTAGGAAAAAGTACCAAAAAGGAGGCTTACATGAAAAATGCATTGGAAAGCTGCACAGCCACGATGACCTCAAAAGATTAACCATCTTTGGTCTAAGTATGAAGCATTGAGTCTAGTTTGAGTCCCACCCAAGTCCCACCCATGTTTCAAGAAGCAAAGAAGTCCAAGAAGGGCCGCGGCACAATAAAATCCGGCCATTGGAACACTATTGCACAAGGCAAAGGTAAGTATCACTTCCATTCTTACTGTCATTTCTTTTAAACACTATTTCTATCAAATTAAACCATACACACTAC